GAAATTCCAGTTTGAAAATACAATGGGGATGGGGCACCTGGGTGGCTCAGTTGGTTGAGCGACTGCCTTCGGCTCAGGTCATGATCCTGGAGTCCCAGGATCGAGTCCCACATCAGGCTCCCTGCTCGGCGGGGGGTCTGCTTCTCCCTCTGACCCTCTTCCCTCTCGTGCTCTCTGTCTCTCATTCTCTCTCTCTCAAATAAATAAATAAAATCTTAAAAAAAAAAAAGAAAATACAATGGGGACTATGTCAGATTAATCGAGTTTTAAGGATATAATGATCAGATGCAGTTCCTGGCTCTGGCTGAGGCCCTGGTGTAAAGATACCAACTGCAAATAACATTTTGGAACAGTGGGAAAAATTTGAGATGGACAGTGCATATGATAAGATGAAAATGTAATTTTATGGGAAGGTAGAGATAATGAACCAAGAAAAATTCCTGTGTACATAATAAACCTATTATATTTATTATTTCATTATTTTATTATCTATCATTATATTATCATAATGTAATTATATTATACATTATAATAAATATATAAAATAATATTATATCCTTATATAATAATACTGATGACATAATATAATTATTATGTCATATAATCATAGTAGCATAAATATATTAATTACTAGAATACTAATTATCAATAAACATTGTTATGATCTCAATTTAATAACAAAAAGGGAGAGAGAATGCATACTGGGAATGCAGGCTGAGAGATAAAAAGAACGATAGAAGGGGCACCTGGGTGGCTCAGCTAGTTAAGTATCAGACTCTTGATTTCGTCTCAGGTCATGATCTCAGGGTCCTGGGATCGAACCCCACCTTGAGCTCTGTGCTCAGCGGGGAGTCTGCTTGGGATTCTCCCTCTCCCTCTCCCTCTGCCCTTCCCTCCCCCCATGCGTACCTTTTTTTTAAAAAAAGGACGATAGGTGGGGCGCCTGGGTGGCTCAGTCTGTAGGTGTCTGCTTTCGGCTTGGGTCATGATCCTAGGGTCCTGGGATCGAGCCCCACATCAGGCTCCCTGCTCCGTGAGGTAGCCTGCTTCTCCCTCTCCCACTCCCCCTGCCTGTCTTCCCTCTCTCGCTGTGTTTCTCTCTGTCAAATAAAGAAATAAAATCTTAAAAAAAAATAAAATAAAAAAGGACGATAGGAGAAAACCGACTATATATACTGAGGTGTGTAGTAATAATGGTGACCTCAGGGTGGTAGAAATAGGCTATTTTCGTTTTCTTATCTCTTGTCTCTTGTTTTCTAATTTCTAAATACATTTTTACTGTTTTGTAATAATAAATGTCTTAAAAATAAATTAAAACACATAAAAGACATTGACACTGAAAACTTTCAAGTTGAAAATTTTGTAAGAGTAATCTAAGGATAATAATTCTGGGTCTTGTGGCAAAAGCAGTCACAGGATTTTCTGGGTGGATACATGCTCACCAAGCCCGCACAGATAGTCCCCAGATACATCCTCACAGGAGAGGGGCTCATGATCCCAAGTCATAAACATACAAGAGTTTTTTAAAAGACGAAAAAAGTCTTAAAGCTGGAGAAAGTAATGTACCTAAATCGATCAATAAAATAGTGACTGTCTCATTTACAATTATGGTTGTCAGAATAATTTATTAAAAGAACTGAAAATACATGAATGTCACCATAGAATTCTATGTCCCAACAAACTACCTTTCAAGAGTGATAATAAAATAAAGACATACTTGGAAAAAAAAAAAAGATGAGCATTGGGGGTTACGAAAACCGGGTGGACAAATTCTGGAGAGTAGTTTGCAGGTGTGAAAGGTGGCTCGGGGGAGATGAAGAGGGGTATTGATGGCCCTTAGCTTTGTTAGCTTCAAAATGTGCATTAATATTTCAAAAGTAAAACATTTTTCCATTTTTATAGAAAATGCATCTCCAAAGCAGTGCAAAGATGAAAAGAAATATAAAATACTCAATCAAGCAAATTAGAAAAGAGAGAAAAACATGGGATGAGAGGGAGACAAAAAGCAAAGGAAGAATAAATATCAACCAAAAATAAGGTGATCGAAATAAAGCCAAGTTTTTAGGAATCAAAAATGTGAATGTTCTACACTCATCAGTTAAAAGACAGAGACTTTCACACTGGATTTTTTTTTAAAGATTTTATTTATATATTTGAGAGAGAGAGAGAGCACAAGCAGGAGGAGCGGCAGGCAGAGGGAGAGGGAGAAACAGGCTCCCCGCTGAGCACAGAGCCCGATGCGGGACTTGATCCCAGGACCCTGGGAGCATGACCTGAGCCGAAGGTAGATGCTTCACCGACTGAGCCACCCAGGTCCCCTCACATTGGATTTTTTTAAAAAGAAGAAGAACAACAAATATAGCTATACACTATTTACAATAAATGCTCAAAAACATGAAAACACAGGTTGGAAATAAAAAGCTAAAGCAGAAATGGACCAGTCTAGAATCCTAGTTGTTCATATTATGATATATTATATAGTTCTTCTATATTACACTACATATTATTTACATCATTTTCTATCCTTTTCCGTGGGCCTAAAATAATCATGACAAAGCAATCATGATTCTGGAAATTAAGCAGGTGCATTCTACTTAGTCATGTCTGGCCTGCACAGGGGGACCCCAGGGCACTGCAGCTCACCAAAAAGCCCCTTTATGGGCGCCTGGGTGGCTCAGTTGGTTAAGCGACTGCCTTCGGCTCAGGTCATGATCCTGGAGTCCCGGGATCGAGTCCCGCGTCGGGCTCCCTGCTCCGCGGGGGGCCTGCTTCTCCCTCTCCCACTCCCCGTTTGTGTTCCCTCTCTCGCTGTGTCTTTCTCTGTCAAATAAATAAATAAAATCTTCAAAAAGCCCCTTTATGAGGCCGACTGGGCGGCGCACATTCACCCCATCAGTGGGACTATTTATAGAGATAGCCCCAGGTCAGGGTTGAATTTGATTCCCTAATGGGCATCTGTCTTTAAGAATCCTCCCTTCATGGCCTTTGTGCTGAGTCAGGCTTTCAAAACACCTTTGGATTCCCTTTAAACTGTGACGCTCAAGAATGAAAAAGAGTTAAGAACATAACCAAACCAAATTCACTCAGTGTGCAGACATTTCCAGGAAAAAGTCAAGTTTAGACTCAGCAACGCAAATCTTCAGACCACTTCCCAAAGAAACTCTGTCTCAGGAGAGGTGGGCTCCTGGGGGTCAAGCCCTGGGGAGATGGACCGGGTGTCTGAGACCCCACCTGGCAGAACCGACCAGCCTGAGGATCTTCAACCCTCTGAATCCATATCTCAACACCTGTCTTCCTTTAGCTGCTTTTTCTTTCTTTCTTTTCATGGCAAAGCTGCATGAGATACAAGCAAAAGCCTTTGTTATTGATCTCCCCACTCAACAGTCTCCATCAATATACAGGGATTACTCCCACCTTGGGGGCAGATGGAGGGACTTAAATTAGCCTCCAGGGGGCTGGGGAACAGGACGATCAAATGACTTCCTCTGTTCCCAACAAGAGAAAAAAAGAAAAACAATAAAATCACACTTTTTCCCTTTTTTTGCCCTGCAGAAAACGTAGATTTTAGACTGGCCTCGTTTCAATTACTCATGCATCCTTGAAATCGGCGTAGACTTCCTTCCGCTCTCACTCCCTAGTCCAGGAGTTAAAAAAACAAAACCCAAAATCTTCTAAATGATTTCTTTCTTATTGTATTATTATTTTGTAATAAACAGCATGATTGCAGGCATGAGGCAGAAGCTCAGCACACACACGCCTGGAAGAGGCCAGGCCGCACCGCTGAGTCACACCCGCCATCTGGCCTTCGTGAGGGACACGGCTCTCCCAGGGGAACGCTCCTCCTGATGTTACCTGTAACAACCACAGATATATTAGATATTCTCTGTTATAAACCCTGCTCTCAACTACTCACATTTCCTGTCTATAACACTCTTTGGGGTCTTCAGAAAAACAAATTCGATTTAAATTATAAAATAATGTTTACTTTAAAAATACATGAAGTACAGAAAGTTTAAAAAAATATGGAAATCACTTGCAATAACATGAACGCTAAGAGGTAGTCATTATAGCTGTAATTCTTATATATATTTTTCTAGTTCTTAAAACATCTTCAAACTTGTTTTTCTCCTTCACGAAGCTGGTACGCTGCTCGTCAGGGCTGATTCTGCGCACCAAGGGCCGTGTCCTTCGAGCGACAGCGAGGCTGCGCTGCCTGCCCGTGGTGAGGGTGGACGTGCCGGGAGCCAGGCGTGGGTCAGCGAGTTCGAGTGGAGGTGATGTCTGTCACTTCCAGATAGAAACCTTTACAGCCCCAGTGCCGTGGCCGCATTCCCTTCCTTCTCCGGGGAGATATGGAAGTTAAAAAGCTTGATTTTTTAAAATGGGACAGAGGGAAAACTGAATTCCTAAGCTCACCTTGATCTCGGGCAGGACTTACTAACGCCCTAAGTAACGGGTCAAGGGGAGCCCCGTCAGTCGGGCCCCTGCTGACTTTCACTGGACAGGAACGTGATATACACAGAAGCACACAGAAACTTCCATTGCTATTTACCGCTAAGCTCTGGAGCGTGTTTGTTGCCCCAGCATATCTAGCCTATCCTGACTAAAACACCTGGAAATACATTATGTTTCTGGATCATCAGATATACTTTAAAAATATACGCTTTCTACTGTACTTGAAGTTCCATCAGACTACTCACCTTTTTCCTACCTTTTCCCGGGAGGGGCTCAGGAGAAGCCCCTGGAGCCCAGGTAACCATTTGTCCTGTATGCAGATGGCAGGGTGCATGCTTTGATCACTTCTCTAAAGCCAGTCCACCCTTCAGTTATCCCCACTGTTGCTGCCTGTGGTCCTCTCTGACCCACAGCTCCTTTTCTTGTGATGGCTAGGCTAGGGGCTAGGATTTAAGAATAGCAACTGAGCAGCCAAGTGACCACACCCATGGCAGGCGGGCCCCGTGACTGTCCATTCTTCAACCACAAGAGAGTCCCCTTGCATGAGTCATCAGATTAGGACGGCCTTCGGAGCCAGCACGCTGTGTGGATCTGCCAGGAGGCAAGAGGGCTCTGCTTCCCAGCTACCGGCACACTCGTTTTCAGGTGAGTCCACGCTCACGGGACTGACCCCCAGAGTGGGCACAAGAAGAGAAGGCCTGGCTGACACCCACCTTGTTCTATCAGATCACTTTGTAAGTTCCCGTGTGTCCTCAGAGCAGCTGTAATGCTGATCATTGAGAAAACACGATATGACAAAGCGGTGGTGAGTTCGCGTGCTCATTTGCATGAAGTGTGTCCCCACACGGGTTTGGGGAAGCGCGTGGATGTGGTGCATCCTCAGTTGATCAGTGTCAGGGTCCGGCCTGGGGGAACAGCTGAGGGTCACCAGGTGTCCATCCTGGAGGTCAGCACGGTCAGGGGCTGTCTTTGCATCGTCCTGGGCACGGCACATGCGCCTTGCCCCCAACCCATGCTCACAGCCCTCCACTGGAGGGGGCCTTTGCGCCCACCCAAGGAAGGGGGGCTACAGCATCTAAGGGAGAACCAAGCTCTCAGCAAGTCTGGGTTCTCCAAACTCAAGGCAGGTGTCAGTTAGAGGTGAATGGCCCTCAGCGTCCGTGTCCACCTAACCTGGGGAGGGAGAGAGACTAAATTGTTTCCCAAGCCTGAGAGCAGCCCAGGACTCTGCTTACTTCCTGCAGGTTCTCAGGCCATGCTGGCTACCTTCAAGGCTGGGTCAGGGCCAGGATCAGGGTCAGGGCCGGGGTCAGGGCCAGGTCAGGGCTGGGATCAGGGTCAGGGCTAAGGTCAGGGCCAGGTCAGGGCTGGGATCAGGGTCAGAACCAGGACTAGGGTCAGAACCAGGATCAGGGTCAGGGCCAGGTCAGGGCTGGGATCAAGGTCAGGGCTGGGGTCAGGGACAGGGCTGGGGTCAGGGTCAGAACCAGGATCAGGGTCAGGGCCAGGTCAGGGCTGGGATCAAAGTCAGGGCTGGGGTCAGGGACAGGGCTGGGGTCAGGGACAGGACAGGGGTCAGGGCCAGGGCTAGGGTAAGTGCCATGGCTAGGGTCAGGGCAGGGTCAGGGCCAGGTCAGGGCCGGGGTGACTCGGGCCTCCCGCTGAATTGCTGACAGAGCGGGCTCTCCCAGAGTAAACATCGCCAATGGGAGGAGGAAAACTTAGCTGAATTAGTATCATCGTTCATCAGTCTCTGCTTGTCTGTTCAGAAGGTAAAGAAAGAAATGTCTTCGCTGATCGGAAACAAAAAGAACCTGCTCTATGCTGTTTGTATTCCTTCGTTAGAACTCCGGAAGGAAGTTAGCGCTGCTTTGTGGCCGCAGGGACTGGGTGGGTGGGACCTGGGCTCCAGGCGGGCCCACCCCTCGCCCCGCCCCTTTCCCCCACCCCCACCTGCAGCGGATTCCCCCGGGCACCGGAGGGCTTGGGAATGCCACCCCGGCGGACTCTGACCCACCCGAACTCCACGGGACAGCGTTCCGGCGTTCCGTGCTGGCCCCTTCGTCCCTCCGGGGGGACTCACACCTGTTAGTGGACAGCTCTGAAGGTTTACTTTCCGATTTGTGTTTCAGGGGTTTTCCTACAAGGTTGTAGCCATGAGGTGCCCTGAGCTGGTCCGCGGGCGCCCTAATCGGGGCCGCCGGTTTCATCATCCTTATCTGGGACTGAGGCCCAGTCGAGGGGCCCCGTCCTCCCTCACATCCAGCCTCACGAGTGGGAAGACAGGAAGGACCCCGCAGGTAATTTGAGGAAATGTCCACTGAAGATAAAACAGGGCAAACCTTTCTCAGCCACATTAAAATGCACCCCACCCTGAATCAAATACGATCGCAGCGGCCAGTCGTGAGATCTGTGGCGTGCGCCAGGCCTCAGAACAGGCCTTCCCGCGCTCTGACATCCCGCCCTCAGCCAGACTGACCTTGACCCCTGGACTGCGGGGCCCCCCAGCCCGAGCCTCGAAGCCCTGCTTGCGGTTGTCCGGACAGGAGGCCCGTGTGGTGTCAGCTGTGTCACGCTGAGAGCTGCACCATCGTCGTCCGCCCCGTGTAACCACGGGGAGCAGGGCCTAGGCGGCCCCCTCCTCCCAACCCGGCTCCCCAGGAAGAGCCAGGCCAGCGCCCCCTCCCCATCTCCTCCTGTCCTGCTCCCACAGGCTCACCCCATGGCATTCTGCAGTTCGGGTTTTGCTCTGTTTTTCAGAACAGATCTACCCTCTGAACAGATTTTATCAATAATTAAAGTTCAAGCAAAATTAACATGCTTTAAAGTTGTAGGCAGCTTTGAAAATTTCAAGCAAACAATCATATTTTTTCCTGAAGAATGTGCCCTGGGAGCCTGAGCAACAGGGTTGCCATGGCGATCCCAGATCCTTTCTGCGCTGAGCAAAGGCTTTGGTGGGCGATTCCGGTCTTACTGGGACCCAACAGCGGGGCCACGTGCACGCTCCCTGCTCCTCTCAGCTCAACCGCGTTTTCCCTCTAAGGGGTCAACAGAGATCTGCTGAGGTTGTGCAGATTTTCATCTAAGTGATATTCATGCAAAACACACGGTCTGACAAAAAGAATGACTTTTCCACTCCCCCCTTTCAGAGACATGGTGTCCGCATAAAGTCAGGTCAGAGGGCCCATTAGAGAAAGTGTCATTGTCTCCAAGCACGCGTGCTCTGAGTGGGGGAGGCGGGCGACCCCCATGCCTCGTGTTCACGGCCATGTGTGTGGGTGCCCCGGTCCACGCTGCAGCTCCGCTGCCCGCCCCCCACCCTTCCTCTGCCCCACCTCTCCCCAGACGTGCAGGTGTGGCAAGGAAGTCCTTCCTGGCTCTCCTCGTACCACGGGCTAACCATCCGAGTCCTGGTTGGTGGAAATGGAGTTAACATTAGCCCTCGTGGGAAGTCACCCACATTTGTTCAAACGTGGCCGTGCCGCTCCTCAGGCCCCACAAACCGCTCCTGCTCTCCGTCAGGTTGGGATGGACCTCTGGCTTCGGATTCGGATGGCTGGCACAGTCCCAGTATGTCCCAGCTTCGGACACATACAGTGGGCAGAAAGCAGCGGGAAACTGGCAGCTAGAGCTGGTCCGACGTCCCTGTAGGATGCGGGCAGCGCCCCCGCAGCGGCTTGTCTCCCCAGGTCACGCCCGTCTGCTGGGGTCCTAGGGCAAGAGGCTGTCCCAGTTTCTCTGCTCCCCTGGAACTAAGCAGAGAACCCAGAACCAGGGTTGGCAACCACGGCCCATGGCACAGACCTGTGCCCAGGCTTGGTAGGTCCAGGCACAAGGAAAGAATGTTTTTTACCTTTCTTTTCGGTTTCTGTTTCAAATGACGAAGAGGAAGGTGCAGAGCACAGAGTGCACAGAACTCAGCGTTTGTCTTGTTCAGCCTTCTCCGCCGTGGGAAGCATGAAGCCTGGTCTTCCGTTCCCTCCATCCACGCTCTAGAGCCAAACGTGCTGATCCCACTTGATGTCCTAACACAAATGGCCTGGAGTTTTTCACACTTTTAAGAGGTTGAAAAGTCAGAAGAATATTTCTTGATACATAAAACTTGTAAAAAAATTCAAATTTCAGCGTCCAGAAACAAAGCTTTATTGGAACACAGCTTCAGCCCTTTGGCATGGATGGTGTTTGTGGGGTCACTGACCAATGGCAGCTGTGGATTGCAGACAGCAGGTGGACCCCAAGGCCCCACACAGCCCAAGTGCTTGCTCGCTGCCACGACAGAAGTCTGCAGACCCCTGACCGACCGAAACACCTCCACTCGGCTGTCCTCCGAGTCTTCTGTCTTGTTACTGCTATGACCGACTTCTGCTAAATCATTTGAGTTTTTCTTTTCTTCTTTCATTTTAAAAGTAATTCATGTTTGGGGCGCCTGTGTGGCTGAGTCGGTTCAGTGTCTGACTCTTGATTTCCGCTCAGGTCATGATCTCAGGGTCATGAGATCGAGCCCCGCATCAGACTCCACGCTCAGCACGGAGTCTGCTTGAGATTCTCTCTCTCCCTCTGCCCCTCCCTCCTCTCTCTCTCTCCCAAATAAATAAATAAATAGTTCTAAAAAATAAAAAAAAACTTAAAATAAAATAAAATTCAGCAGCTGTTTAAAAAACAATAATAATAATTCCCTGTGTTTAACAGGATTCCTCAAATAAACCCCAAATGTTTAACTAGCCCGGCCTCACATTCTTGGGAAGGGCGGGAATAGTACTAGTTGTATTTATTTTCTTTTTTTTCCTAATAAAAAATAAAACTGCAAAAACCCTAAGTGATCTTGTTTCTCTTCAAAGAGCAAAACAGCTTTACAGGCGGACTCTAGGGCCAACTCTAAAAGAGGTCATAAGAAGCAGTTATTTATTCCCCAGACGCATCCCGTACCTTGGGGCCTTTGCTCCTGCTGTCACCTGCCCTGAGCGCCCTCCCGCCCCGCCAGTCGCCGTCCGCACCCGCGAGGGGCCCCGGGCTTCCCCAGACCCAACTTGGGTCCCTGCGTCCCAGCTGCTGCCACGCTCTGTCCCGTTCATTCTATAAATCTTACTGTGCTCTTGTACAAGGAATGCTAGGTCGTTAGTAAAAGGCTGCCTGGCTGAAAGTAGAACTGTCTTTCAAATTTAACTAGTTCCCCAAATTTCTGGTGAAGAAAACAAGAAGCAGTGCCGTTGAGGCTGCGCCTGGCCGCGGGGGAGAGGGACGCTCGGGGCACCAGGGCTGTCGCGGTGTGTGCCCGTGTGCCAGAGTCCGCTCGTGTGTGGACACGCGCTCGCTTGCGCTCCAGCCAGACTCCCGACGGCGGGACTGAGGGGCCGTGGGTCACTCACGGCCGGCGGCGGTGGCCAGGCTGCCCTGGGCTCGGGTTCCTGGCGCCGTGTCCTGGGAGACGGAGTCACGTGGTGGCCCACACCGAGGCAGCCGCGTCTTGCCGGTACACACTCTGCCTTCCAAGCACGTCACGCGGTGGCAAGCACACCGCTAGGTGCCCCACCAAGGAGGCAGGTGCAAATCCTTTCTGCAGCCACGGAAGCAGGCAGAGGAGAATTAAGGGGAATCGTGACCTTTGCACATTAGGGACGGTCCCCACAATCCACGGGGTCTCCACGATGCACGGGAGTGGCACACAAGAGTCTGCGCTCGCGTGGACAGCTGCGCCTTCTGGGATGGGCGCTGTGGGTTTGCCTGTCCGGGGCGGACGCGTCCGTAAGTCCCTCCTGGGGATGACGGGGCAGGTGTTCCTACACGTGAGGCACCTCCCACCTCCAAGCTATCAGAGCTTTTCAAGCCTTGTTTCAAATCCTTTGTCAAATGCGGTGAGGGATGAACTTTCCAGGTCATGAGTCCCGGAAAGAAGCATGGAGTGAGTGAGAAGGGGTTTTCCAATGTGCTTTTCACTCTTTCAGAAATTAAGGTGAATTCTAAAAAATAAAAAGCATTAAGGTCACAAATTAAGAAAAATATAACTGTATGTTGTCGACAGAAAACTGCAGACTTCGTGCCGTTTAGCCGACAGTCTTAGGACATGCATATGGTGTTCTCTGAGAAACCCCCTGGCCCCAATCCAATGTAGGAACTTGCTGTGTCTCATTTTATCTCATGGCACACACACTTTGTAGGGGCTTTTATCAGCAGATGCACTCGTGTTAAGTGTGGAGTTTGATAGGTTTGGACAAATGCTTCACCTGGGTAACCACCACAACCAGGATATTCTGGAAAGATCCTTGTTCCCCTTTGCCATCGGTCTGTGCTTCACCACTGGTCTCATTGTTCTCACCGTAGGTTAGTGTTGCCTGCTCTGGAATCATGTCGTTGGAATCACACAGAAAATGCTCTTTCGTGTCTGGCTTGTTTTGTGCAATAAGACATTTCTGAAACTGATTCATCTTGTATCTGTCAGTGGTTATGGTCTCTTTATTGCTGAACACGTTTTCCTTGTGCGGGTGTACAACACGTTTGTGTGTTCATCCATCCTTGGACAGTTGGGTTGTTCCCAGTTTGGAACTATTATAAATAAAGTTGCTATTAACATTTGTTTACAAAGTTTGTATGGACATATGTTTTTGTTTCTCTGGGTCATCCAGCTGGGAGTGGGATTGCTGTATGTGTAACTTCATAAGAATCAGATAAGCCCTTTCCCAAAGTGGTTGTGATGTTTAATATGCTCAATAGGGGCATGTGAGTTCCAACTGCCTCTCCTCTTCACCAACATTAGGAATCGCCCACCTTTTTTCTTTTAGTCGTTCTAGTGGGTATGAGGTGGTATTTCACTGTGGTTTTAATTTTCATTTCCTTGATAGCTAGTGATGTCAGGTAACTTTCATGTGCTTAGGGTCCGTTATCATAGACCTTGTGAAGTTTCTGCTCAGTTCTTTACTCTCTTTATTATAGAGTTATTCATCTTATTTTATTGTTGACTTGTTAGAGTTGTGATGTATTTTGGTTACAAATCCTTTTGTTGGATAGATGTATTGCCAATGTTTCCTCCAAATCCGTGACTTGACTTTTCATCTGAACAGTGCCTTTTGAAGAGTAAGTTTTTAATGTGAAGGAAGTCAAACTTACCAATTCTTTTCTTTTACATTTAGTGAGTTTTGTGTCCTAAGGAAGCGTCAGCCTCTTCAATCTTGCAAAAAATAAAAATTGTTTTCTTTAAACATTTTACAGTTTTATCTTTTATAGTTAGGTTTTTGACTCATTTCAAGTTGTGGAGACATGTGCATATCTGGTCGTTCCAACCAGAGTAGTTGAAGAGACTATCCCATCCCCATTGAAGTACCTGGACACCTTTATTGAAAGTATGTTAACCATACACATGATGCAGGTGTATTTATTCTCTTCCAGTAATCTCTATGGCTCTCTGTATGCTATAATACACTGTTTGACTACAGATGATTTATAGTCAGTCTTGAAATCAGGTAACGCAAGTCCTCCAACTTTGTTCTTTATCAAATTTGTTTCGAATATTCTAGGTCCTTCCTGTTTGTTTGTTTTAACAATTCAGAACTGGCTTATTTGGCTTAGTATAATGTCCTCCAAGTTGATCCGTGTTATAGCATGTGACAAAATTAACTTCTTTTTTAAGGCTGAATAGTATTCCATTGTGTGTGTGTGTGTGTGTGTGTATCACATTTTGTTTCCCCATTTATCGGTTGATGAATACCTGTGTTGCTTCTACCTCTTGGCTATTGTGAATAATGCCATGATAACATGGGTGTGCAAATATCTCTCCAAGATCCTGCTTTAAATTCTTTTGAATACAGACCCAGAAGTGGGATTTCCATAATAGCAATTCTATTTTTAATTTTTAAGAAACTTCACAACTTTTCCATAATGGCTGCACCAGTTTCTGAGTTACAGTGCAGCAGGGCTCCAACTTCTCCACATCCTCTTCAGCACTTACTATGGTCTGTCCTTTGCTAGAAGCTAACATTGTAGGTGGGAGGTGCCATCTCACTGTGGTGTGGTTTTGCATTTCCCTAGTAACTAGTGATGTTGAGCATCTTTGCATGTGCCTATTGGGTATTTGTAGCTCTTCTTTGGAGAAATGTCTACTCAAATACTTTGCTCAATTTTTGATAGGGTTATTTTGTTGTTGTTGTTAAATGCAAATGAGATGTTTATGAATGAACCATTTGACTACAGTTATATAAATGATGAGACCAAGAATGTAGCATTCACTCTTTATTTCATTTATCACTCACTTATCCACTACATTATTTAGTGACTCTGTAATAATCATGTATTTACTGAGACCCTCCTATGAGCAGGAATTGTTGTATATGCTATAGATGTTGTTGTAAACAAGACTGATGTGATCCTTCAAACACATGTTTAGAGTCAAGGAAGAAAAAAAGAAAAGAAGAAGGAAGTTGCTCTTTTCAGATCCCAGATCCCAGATCTTAATGTTGGATTCCTTCTTGCTGTAACAGCTAAGGCCAATCCCTCCATGTAGTCTTTCCTCCAAAGCTTTGCCAGGTGACCCATGTATACCTGGGGCCCCAAGTAGCCTTGTTCCTGCAGGAAGTTCCAATTTAAAAAATTCACCCTACAGCCTTGAAGACATATACGTAATTACTATACCCTATTTTCAAAGAGTCACACTGTGGCAGCCTTGAACATGTCTGACACTCTCTTTCATTTGCAGAATTCCCAAACTTTAGAGATGTTCTCCTTTTACCCCGAATTCTCCTTTGAACTCCACACCGTCTAGCCTCCTGGACACAGTAACTAGGGGGACTTCTGACCTTCCCTGTCTACTGAACCAAAACGGCTGGAGGACCATGCAGCTCAATGCACCCAAAACTCCTGAAATCCCGCAAAAGTAAGCACAGTGAGGCACCTAGAATTATAGTTTTTCTCCTATTCTGACACTTTTCTCATAGAACATATTCACTGAATATTTCTCATCACTAAAACTCTTCACTGTATTTCAAACAGATAAGAAAAAGATGTAAGGTATAGTCAGTTATATTGGAAAGATTATTTTTCCAGAGCAAACCTGAGTTCTAGCATTCCCTTGCACTATAACCTGCACGTGACTTAATTTACCTAAACCTTCGATTGAAATAGTGATACCTAGGTCTAAGTAGGCTTCGACAGTAAATGAGATGATGTACAGATCCGAGCAATTAGTAGGCACTAGTAAATATCAACTTCACTCTTTGGGCGAGAAACAATCTTTTGGGGCCTTAGGTTCCTGGCTCATAAAATGAAAAATCATAACGACTTCAGTGAAGATGAAGGGTATTTCTCAGTAGGCACCGTTATGGGCTCGCACAGGGTGGATGCATGTGAGCAGTACATTCAACAGGCCCGCCTTGCAAGAAAACCAAACGGAATGCTGGCTTCAGTGTTGTGCTGTCCCTTTAGACATTTTTCAGGGGGACTGTCGCCCCTGCTCCTGATGAAAACCCAGACAACCTCTGAATTCTCTGCTCACTCTTAGGTAAGAAGACAGTCCTGAAATAGCTTTAAATCACACACTGTCTCCACCCAGAAGGGTGACTGTCTAGTCTAAGATCTTCATCAAACTCCAGCCTTGATTTAATGTGTCCTCTCCTCCCCAGATCCGTCTGGAACCCTGCGTCCAGAGGGCATGTGTCATGGATGCATGCATACATAAATATAGATACATACTTTTCCTTTTCTTTAAAAAAATATCAGCAAAATATTATCTTGCTGGGAATATTTAACTTTGAAAACCCAGAGGTTTAAATGGCTGACGACATTTCTGTCTGTTTTCTCAGTTTTGTGTATGGATGTTA